CTTAATCTGTGTTGTTTCCACGAGCATGAGGGAAGGAGCTACTTTTGGGAGCAGGAGCAATGTATTAATGGCTACACCACTGAAGAAAAACAATTCCCCCACCCCAAGAATCATTTTAGCTAGCACCTGGGAGCAAGAGACAGGAGAATTAAAAGTTCAAGGCCAAAGTCAGGAATATAGTTGAGTGTTAAAGTGTTCCCCTTTAGTGCATGAAGGACCTGATTCAGTCCCTATTACTGCAGTAAGAAGAATAATTCATGCACAGGCCTTGTCTCAAAAAAACAAGAGCTAAGAATTTAGCTCAGTGGTAGATACTCACTTGCCCAGAATTTGCAAAGTTCCAGAAATACACACACATACATGTGCATGCATGCACACGCACTCACCCACTTTAAAAAAAAATCCCCCCAACATAACAATCAGACTCATAGAATCCACAGATGAACACGACAATTCCAACAATCATTTATATGTATCATTAACTACAATGACCTCCACATCAGTTATTCACATCTCAAATCTTAGATGCTAAATAAAGACCAAATGACAACACCTGACAAATCCATGAATTCACTGGTCGTGACCTAGTGTTACGGATGCTGTAGGAACTGGACGGCTAACTAGGCCTCTTCAGCTGGGCACAAGACAGCTCCAATTTGCATTTTAACAAGAACACTCTGGCTAGCTACAGCCTAGGATGGATGCCAGGATTCTCTTCCCACCTCCCTAGAACTGGACAATGCTTCTGACATTATGACAGCCAGGAACAGCTGCACCCGATTCACAGAGGATCCACTGAAAATTGGTGTTGACAGTCAACCGAAAACCTTAACCCGGCTTTGCTTCCACACAGAAACTTGTTTTAGAAAGCAGCACAGGAAGCCTGGTGAGATGCTTCAGCAGGTGAAGGTGCTTGCGGCCAAGCCTGACCGCCTGAGCTCGAGCCCAGAACCCACATGATAGAGAGAGAACACACCCTCGCCAGGTGTCCTCTGACTTCCAGAGCATGTACACCCCACCCCACACTGACAAATAAAAGAAAAAGAAAAAGGAAGGAAGGGAGGGAGGGAGGGAGAGAGAGTGGGGGGGAATAGTCTAAAAGCAAAAGTATGGCTTCAGAATCAAAGAGCTTGGGGCTTACTCCAAAGAAAACCAGAACATATCAAGGCTTTAAAGCAAGCCAAGGCCATAGGACAAAATCAAAGAGATTCAAGATAGAGAAGCCAGATGATGTCATATGCACCCCACCTTCTCCCCAAGTACACATCCCCATGGAAACCTTTCTTCTTTTCTTTTTTATTTCTTTTCTTTTTTTAGATTTTTGGGTTTTTTTCCTCTTTTATGTGTATGAGGTTTTTGCCTACATGTATGTGTGTGCACACAGAAGAAGACATTTTGCCTTACTCTTTTTTTTTTTTTTTTTTTTAAGACAGAGTCTCCATATGTGGTCTTGGCTGGCTGGCCTGGAACTCACAAGATAGTTTACGCTGGCCTGAACTTGCTGGGACCCACATGCCTCTGCCTTCCTAGAACTGGGATAACAGGTGTGTACCACCACACCTAGCTCATTCGATTTATTTTCTAAATCGTCCTCAGGTGGGTTACCATCACGCCACCCCTACATTTAGTCTAGTTTTAAGAGCACAGGGTGGTTGGTTTGGGATGGTTTGGCAATTCCTCACAATCATGTTCATCAGCAAATCCCTCAGAAGGTGTGTCCCTCTACATCCATCTCGTGGTCTGGCACCCCACATCAGTTTCTACTATTTCTGGTGAAGTAAATTCTGCCACTTTGGCGAAGTTGCATCTGCCAGGCTTGTCAATGCCCAA